GTTTAATACGCAGTCGCACGCATAGACACACACACACACACACACACACACATCCAAAGGGAGGAAAAGGCAGGACTTTCCGGGGTTTTCCTCCTGTGCGTTCGGAAATTTGTGGTGTTATCTCACGCTGGCAATTCTCATAAAATTTCGCCTTTTTCCGGAGCTGCGTACACGGATATATATACGTATGTGTGTGAGCTTGCATACATATACCTGTGTATGCGAACGAGAGAGAGAGAAACATTGAAGATAATCCGATAGTCCGCCCAGAGGTACCAATTACATTTCCGTCTCTTTCCTCTCTCTCTCTCGCGCCCTGCACACACGTACGTACGTACGTTTCTCTCTCTCACTCCCTCTCTTTGCGTTCAGCTATACGTATATATAGCTACTGCTACGAGGTGAACAACAAATTTTTCCTCGTCTTCAATTTCGCACCCGCGGTATTATCGTCATTCGTGCCGGCGCATAAAGAGCCGTTTAATCGCGGAGTTCTCTTTTATTTTTTTTCATATATATTTACCGCTTCGAAAATTATCAACCGTTTCTCCTTGTTTTTTTTTTTGTTTTGTTATTCTTATTATTCTCGCTGCGCGACTGGCGTATGGAAAACAGAACGATAAAAATATAACGATGCTGCACCGAGATGTCTTTTGTTATTACTTACGCGTCGAAAGTTTTTGCGCGCGGCCGTGAATAAAAAAAAACTTTTAAATTATTGTCTTACGACGAGAGTTTTTTTTGATATGACAAACTGATTCTTGGCTTATAGTTTTTAAAGCGACTCCACTTCTGCCGCCGCTGCTTTATACACCAACTTGGCTGGAAAAGCTCTCGAGAGCTCGTGTGTGCGGTACACAGATATCTCTCGTTGCATATAGATATTCATGGTATACACACGTTCGAGTTTATTTTCTCCCATACCCCTTGCCGATATATATTGTTTCGGGATCGCAATTCTGCACTCCGCGTTTCGTTAATATCGCCTCGCCTCGTAAATCTCTTACTTGTTTTTTCGAGCGGGGATTATATATGTATGTCTCGAGCCGCCGACGACGCCGCCACGTCCGCGAGGCCCTGCGAGTTGTTTTAGTTTGAGGAAAAAGGACAGTTATGAGAAATGTGTGCAGCGTGTGCCGCCGCTGCCGCTGCTGCACTCGGGCTAATGTCAAATAACACTTTTTCTTTCCTCTCTCGCCTCGATCGTTTTTTCTCACACAGACACGCACAAAGTTCATTTTGATTTTCGCGAAAAATAAATCGGCCTACAGGAGCAGAGCAAAGCGCGGCTTTATTAAAAAAATTCCACGGGTAATCATTCAAGAATCATGAAAAAGAAATCGAAGAGTATAAGTTCATGGTACTATATATATAACATCGACCTACATGGATCTTCTTTTTTCTCGCTCCTCGTTTTTTTTTTTACTTTCACGCTCCCTCTCTCTCTTTCCAGAACTTTTTTCTTTTACTTCCCTCTTTTTCCTCTCATTCTAGTTACACTTCTTTTTCCCCGTGCCTCATACAGAAAATCTTTCTCGCGCGCGCGCGCGTCGAGGTGAACTAACATTACTTCTCTCTCTCTCTCTCTCTCTCTTTCTCTCCCTCTGCCCTGCCACCCCCGATGTATTTTTCAATTTTGAACTTTCTTTTTCTGCTACTGCTGCTGCCGCTGCTCTTCTAGTCTGACGCGCTGCACTCTCGGGGGCTCTTTGCATACACCACCAGCACCACCACGGCAGCTCTCTAACGCTTTTTGCACATGACAGATTTTTTTATCACGATTGAATTTCAATATTTATAAAAGTTACCGCAGTGTGAGCTCACGGTGTAGACGTATCTTCAGCCTCTGCTGCTGCTCCTGGTGGACTGTATATATATATATATGGAGTGTTGTAGAGCGCGCGGCTTTTTTAACAGTAACAACAACAACAACAACAACAACAGCAATAACAAAAGAAGCGCACCGCGAAGAGCGTATACCGCAACGAATCGATGCGTATACATATGCGTGCAAAAAAGTGTAGAAACGATTACACGAAAATGCACTTCAACCGAAAGAGCCAATACACACAGCATTCGGTTGTTCATTGAAAAAGTTGTGAATTTATTAAAAAAAAAAAAAAAAAAAATGAATGAAATAGAGAGACAAAAATCATCGCGGGGCCAATCGTAGCCGATTTAGTACGTCGATGCTCGCATCAACTAGTACAAAAAAGCTCTAAAATTAATTTTAACTTTACACACAAATCGTCGTGTGCGGATCGAAGCGAGTGACACGTATATTGTTTTCGGTCGCGCTCAAACTCATACCGTGTGTATATATAATATTACATAGCAATCATTCCTGCACAGCAGCCGCACACGAGTGCGGTATACATTATATACATTATACGAATACAATCCCCCCTGGGCTAAAACGGAAGCTTCGATTGAGAAAGCGAGCTTACCTCGGCTCTATACAGACAAGCAAGATTACGAGGAAGTTTATATATACGTGTATGTGTGTGTGTGTGTGTATGGAGTAGAACTAGCACCACACAAACTCGCGCATACACACACACACACTCGAACGTAGGTACATTGACATTTCTAGCGAGATATCCTTTAACCGCGTCGATACGACGTGGCTTCGAGTTACATTCAGGGGACGGGTGGAGAGATGAGGCTCTCTCCACCACCCACCATATATAAGCGCCCAGAGCTCGTGCTGCTGCGGCAACTGATTGTTTGAGACAACTCAACCAAGAGACAGAGATAGAGATATAATACAGAGAGAGATCGATTAAAACGCGCGCATCCAAGGAACACGATTCAATTATTTTTTTCATTCGTATTTTTTCCCATTTCGTAAATCCCCGTATTATTATTATTATATATATATATAAAAAAATCAAAAAGACCAGTCGACGTTACAAACGTTATACAGCATACATTTTGACGCGCATTAGACGAGCAAATATTTTAACGAACGTCGCGTATACAGCGTTCGTGTATATATTATTTATCCGGAGGTCCGGGAGTCTCGTTTCGTTCTATTCTCGTCTCACCGCGCGCCGCGCTGATGTTTACGCTCTCCGTGTGTCAATTGTTTATTTACATCGGTATAGTGTATAGTACAGCACACAGCATCGCGCAATACTATCACGCGTATACGTACATGTATGTGTATACGCTTCGATCTGTTTGTGCTACGTGCACGGATACGTACGCACACCTGCGAAAAGTCACTCGTGTGCTGCTGCCGTTGACAAATACTCGCGCAGATACACGCGTGCGGGTGTCGTGTTTATTTTTTTTTTTTAATTCCTCGTATAATCGATTAATTTTGCTTTTACGAGAGCTCATGCACTCGTGCGCGCGGTTTAAAATGTAAAATACAGAATTAATGTACGCGTCTTGTACGTCAACGGCAGCGTACAACAGGCAGCGAGCAATCATCCGAGCTGCTCCGTTATATATATATATACGACGAAACGTCGTATATACTGCAGCCGCGGCAGTAGCTTTTCTCTCTCTCTCTCTCTCTCTTATATATACTACCTGCAGCGGCGCACACCTTGGCGTATATATACTACACTAGATTCATGCGCATATACGAACGGATTTTCCGTTCCCGGCGTGGCTTATAATATGCATACATCCATAATAATTTCGGGGCGAAACCTTCCGTTCTCCATAACTTTACATGCTAAAATATATACGTGCGTGTGTGTGTAGGTGTGCGTTGGTGTGGATGCCTCAGAATCGCGGAGTACGTTCGAAAATTTAGCAGCTTTTCGTGAGGCATTTTCGCACGATTTTTCGAGACAAATCGTTGTCCATGGATGCCGATTAATTACGAGCTCGCAGACGAATGAGGGATATCTCCCCGCAGAAAGTTTCGGAATCGAAAAAAGAGAGCCAAAGGCTTCCGGGCACGACTAGTAGTAGTAGTAGTCTGTATTTAGTAGCGGCATATATCGAGTAATGGCCCACGCGGCGAGCCGAGAGCGAGAGATATATATAAAATGCCGTCTGTGGATTAAGCGATATAATATATCAGACGCCGCGCGCATGTGTGCGCGAGGGGGTGGACAGAGAGTGGGGAAAAAAAAGAGAGAGAGCGAGCTGAGAGGCTGCAAGCCTATATGGCGCAGTAGTTAGTTATATATATATCTAAGTAGTAAGAGAGGCTCTCAGCGTTCGTGATAAGGAGTTGCTAAAGCGGCTTACCGAGAGGCAATGGACGTGGTGGTGGCCTCTCTCTCGCTCTACGTGTTTCTGCGATTCTTCGGGTTCTCTCTCACTTTATATATGATTGCGCTTGGAAATGTGTATGAGTATGTGTGTGCATGCGTGCACGGCCCGCCGGGGATTATATGGGTTAAATTACTCGCTCGTCGCGCGACGACCGCTTTTATATAACCGTCGAAGTAACTAACTCGTGCTTTGCCGCGCGCGACGAGTAAGAACGTCGCGTTGCAAAAAATGAGGAAGAAATAAAAAGGGATGAAGTTTACTCGTGGGCGCACGTATATCGAAATATATATCGGACGGTTTTTCTTGCATTACATTGGTTTGCGATGCTACAGTTTTTCAATTCAATGGTAATATTTTGGTTTGAGTATGAAATAATTTAAACAATTGGATTATTTTTCAAAGCCAATAATTTAGAGTCGAAGGTCGTCGAACTTTTCAAGTCGCTAATTATTTTGTGACATTGTACTTGTTCGTTGACTCGAGGGTGTAAACCCGGTATACGATTAACTGTGTCTAATACCCTTAACTTGAAAAACAATACCGTAACGATTCAAAAAGGAACAATAACTTCACGAGGTAGACAATTATTCTTATAGCCTTCGCATTATCGCGATAAAAGTCTATTGTTGGAGTAATCGTTGTTATCAACAACGAAAAAATCGAGAACGATGTCACCTCTCGATGACTTTTACGAGTCGGTCAGTGTAACGTTCGTCATAGAACCGTACGCATATTTTTGAGAGCCCATCGGGAAAAAGATAATGTTGAAAGATCAAAATAAAGAGGATAGTTTCTTCGATAGTCCCGCGTACAGTCTAACCAAGGGATGCTTGATACTATCCGGTGGCTGGCCTTACCTAAGCCCAAGAAAAAGAAAAACCATATGGTTCGCGGTTAATACTTACGTAGCTACCGCCTGGTTCCCAGAGGTAAATACGACGATTCGCCAAATGTGCTGAAGTTCACGAATTATTTTATGCTGCAGTTGTTTCACATCATCGAAATAATCGATCGAACGAGAGAAGTGATCTACTGCTTGATGGCGTTTCTCTGCACGTATTTGTCTTTCGTGTCGTCGATCAATGCCGCCTTAAAATCTCATTCGGTATTAAAAAAAAAACGATACACCGCGACTGTTCACGTCTCGGATAAGTGACACGAAATTTTCAGATGAGACGTTTGATCGATTCAGTGAGAGAGAATTGGAACGATTTGAAGAGCGACGACGAGAGAAAAATCTTCGCGACGTATGCCAATTACGGCAAGCTCTTTACCATCGGCCTAACATGTAATACAGATATTAGCTATTCCAAAACAAAAAACTTGAATTGTAAAAGTCCTTAATTAATTCAGAGACATTTTTGTTCAATGAACTTTACTTTTAAACTCAATAGCTTTCCAATAAAATAATAAAAAAAACATTTTTTTATGCAAACACAATTAATTTTTTTATCAAAAAAAGAAAAAGTTTGTTTAGAAGAAAATTTTATGGAACAAAAATGTCTTATAAGTGAGTATGGAACATCTTCAAAATTTTTCAGAATTATTAATGATGATTTTGGTCGTCTTAACCTTTCAAATATTTGAATGTACTAATAATTTTTTTTACTCCTAGAAGCAACTTTTAATTGTCAGTAATGACGTATAAACAAAATATTTTTCATGTCTTTTTAACTTTACAACTCAAGATTTTTTTTTTAAATTTATCATAAATGTCATATTTATTGCATCAATAATAAATTCATCAATCGATCGTTACAGTCGCTTACTACATGGTACTACTGTCTTACATCGTGTTCCCGCTAATAACGCCATCGCTACGTTACCTCGACACGGGCAACTGGACGAGACAAGAGAAAAACATCCTGGAGGTCGAATACTACGTCATCGATCTCCAGGAATACTACTGGCCGATATTCGTTCACGGATCTCTGGCTTGTATGGGGGCCGTTTGGTTGATGCTGGCTTACGACGTTCTTTTCGGCACGGTTGTGCAGCACTGCTGTGGAATGTTCGCCGTCTTACGGTATAACAATTTTTTTGGCAAAATCAAAATCCAATGACGCACATTGATAAATGTAGGAGGTTTTTGCAGGTACAGAATTCGACAGATGGACGTTATACTTCATAATTACTCCTACGATCGGCAGTTGGCCTTGAAAAAAATCGAGGAAATCGTGATGTATCACCTTGCTTGTCTGGAGTAAGTCTGCTCAATCGTTATACTTGTGAAATTTCGAGTTATTACTTATCCACGATTTTGAAACTCAGATTCGCTCAAAAAATCGAAGATTTTTTCTGTTTACAGTTCATAATACAGATATTGACCAATACCTTCGTGATAAGTGTCTGCGGATCGCAGGTGAAAGAATAATTCGACATTTGCCCGAAAAATTTTTATAAAGAATAGATGCACTTGCAGGTCATACAGCTCGCCGACACATCTCTGCAAGAGTCATTCAGGTTTTTATATCTAGCCAGTGCGACCGCCTTTCGGCTGACCTTTATCAATGTCTTTGGACAGAGCGTGTACGATCACAGCCTTCAGATACACGACCATTTGTAAATTAACATATCTGTTAAATTCGCATATTTGTTCGTGAGAAAAAATGCTGTTATTTCAGAATATACACCAATTGGTACGAGTATCCAGTACAAGTGAGAAAATTATTCATAATTCTTTACAATAGAAGCGCCGAGCCTTGCAATCTTACCGCTGCCAAAATGGTTAACTTAAATCTAGATACTTATTGCAAGGTATTTAAAATTCCTAATTAAGACGTATCGAATTGCAATTTTCTTTATCCATAATTATTTCAGTTAATGAAAACGGCGATGTCTTATTTCATGATGATTATCCAGACGCTATAAGATTATTTTTTCTAACAAATATCTTATTTTTTTCTATTCAACTTGAATGAGTTTGTATCATAAGAGTTTGTTTCATTTCATTAATGAATGGTTAACAAATGTAATAAAGTGTAATAAAAATGAATAGAGTGTAGAAAAAAGAAACAAATGTCCGTAATTGTTATTAATTTTTATGACAATGCACAACATTATTATGCACTAAATCTAAATAGTATATAAGATTTTTAATGAATCTCTCCGCAGAAATTAACTTTTTCGTTTTCGGGACGAAAAAAGTTAGCTTTAGCTAGGGTAGCATGAAAAAAATTTTTCGCTGGGGATAATCGAGTTTTAGAACAATACTGCGTCTATTCAAAAAGTAACAATGAGTCCACAAGGTAGCGAATTATTCTTATAGCTGTTGAATTATAAAAGTCTATTGTTACATTAATCGTCATGATTAATAAAAAAAAATTGAGAATAACATTAATGTCAGCTCTCGATGACTTTTCCATGCATTCCACTGCTTAACTAAGTTGGTGTAACATCAAGCCGAGAACCGTTTATAAAAAAAATTATAATGTCAAAAGATACAGAGGATAGTTTTTTCGATAGCTCCGCGTACAGTCCAAGTAAAACATGCATGATACTATCCGGTGGCTGGCCTTACTTAAGTCCAAGAAAAAGAAAAACCATATGGTTGGTCGTTAATATTTTCGTAGCTACCGGTTGGTTCCCAGAGGTAAATACAAAGATTCGCTAAATGTGCTCAAGTTCAGGAATTATTTTATGCCGCAGCTGTTTCACATCATCAAAATAATCGATCAAACGAGAGAAGTGATCTACTGCTTGATGGCATTTCTTTGCACGTATTTGGCTTTCGTGCTGTCGATCAATGCCGCCGTGAAATCTCATTCGGTATTAACAAGAAGCACCACGACAAAAAAAAAATACACGACTGGTATCCGAGTATCAGATAAGTGACACGAACTTTTCAGATGAGACGATTGCTCGACTCCGTGAGAGAGAATTGGCATAATTTGAAGAACGACGACGAGAGAAAAATCTTCGCGACGTATGCCAATTACGGCAGGATCTTCAGCATCGGCCTAGCATGTAATACAAATATCATTTTTATGTCAGATATTATCATCAGGGATAATAAATTCGGCAATCAATCGTTACAGCCGCTTACTACATGGTGTTACTGTCTTTCGTCGTATCGCCACTTATAACGCCTGCTCTACGTTACCTCGACACGGGCAAGTGGACGAGACTCGAGAGAAACGTTCTGGAGGTCGAGTACCTCGTCATCGATCCCGAGGAATACTATTGGACGATATTCGTTCACGGGTCTCTGGCTTCCATGGGAAGCGTTTGGTTGGTGCTGGCTTACGACATTATGTTCGGCATCGTCGTACTGCACTGCTGCAGCATGTTTGCCGTGTTAGGGTAACAATTGTTTTTTGATTTTTTCCAAAATTCATAAGGGCCATGAAGCGCAGTGAAAACTTTGAGAGGATTCTGCAGGTACAGAATTGGACAGATGGACGTTATGCTTTATAATCACTCCTACGATCGCCGGTTGGCCTTGAAAAAAGTCGAGGAAATTGTGACGTATCATCTTGAGTGTCTGGAGTAAGTCCATTCAATTGTTATACTTGTGAAATGTCGAGCATTACTTATCCAAGATTTTGAAACTCAGATTCGCTCAAAGAATCGAAGATTTTTTCTGTTTACAGTTTATATTACAAATATTGTTCAATACGATCATAATAAGTGTGTGTGGATCGCAGGTAAAAAAATCACTCGAAATTTACCGGAGAAATTTTACATCAATTTATGAACTTGCAGGTCATACAGCTTGCCGACATATCTCTACAAGAATCATTCAGATTTGCTTTTCTGGCCAGTGCAACCGCCTTTCGGCTGACCTTCATCAATGTCTTTGGACAGAGCGTGTACGATCACAGCCTTCGGATACACGACCATTTGTAAATTAACATATCTGTTAAATTCGCATATTTGTTCGTGAGAAAAAATGCTGTTATTTCAGAATATACACCAATTGGTACGAGTATCCAGTACAAGTGAGAAAATTATTCATAATTCTTTACAATAGAAGCGCCGAGCCTTGCAATCTTACCGCCGCCAAAATGGTTAACTTAAATCTAGATACTTATTCAAAGGTATTTGAAATGGTATTCGATTAATACGTATCAAATTTATTTGAATCACAACTTTTCAAATCGATCTGTAATTCTTTCAGCTAATGAAAACGGCGATGTCATATTTCATGATGATTATTCAAACACTATAAGATTATTTTTTCTAACAAATATCTAAAATAATTTATGTCATTAAAAGATATATATTTCTTACAAGATAAGGGAATAAACAGAGTCAGGCACTGACTAACGAATCAATTTTTTTTTATTATATACACTCGGCAACAAAATTATCGCAACAAAAAAATTCATCGAAATTTTGTCGATTTTCAAATGCTTCTATCTTGGGCTAGATTTATCGTACCGACACGCTTTTTTTTTTTTATTTTTTGGAAATTTTGTCCTCTTTAAATCTATATTAATTGAGATAAGATTCGAGTTAATGTAGAGTTACCAGTAGTATTTGAGCGTGACACTAAAAATTACTGAAAAAAATGACTGTTTGAACGTGTACCAGTACCACAGTAATTTTTCTATCGAAATGTAACATACACCATTGCAAAGTGCTCTTTTTAACGAGTAATTTAAAAAAAAAAGACCTCTCTACGATTTTTTTAACGCCCTGTAGGTCGTTTTGAAGATACCATTCAAGGTACGTAAAATCCCCCGTTTAGCTGAAATCAAGACGATTTTCTGGGCATTTTGCGTACACAAACCGTACCTTCAAATCGACCTACAGGGCGTTAAAAAAATCGCAGATAGGTCCTTTTTTTTAAATTACTCGTTGAAAAGAGCACTTTGCGATGGTGTATGTTAAATTTCGAAAGAAAAATTACTGTGGTACTGGTACACGTTCAAACAGTAATTTTTTTTCAGTAATTTTTAGTGTCACGCTCAAATACTACTGGTAACTCAACATTAACGCGAATCTTATCTTAATTAATATAGATTTAAAGAGGACAAAATTTACAAAAAATTAAAAAAAAAGCGTGTCCATACGATAAATCTAGCCCAAGATAGAAGCATTTGAAAATCGACAAAATTTCGATGAATTTTTTTGTTGCGATAATTTTGTTGCCGAGTGTATATCTACATACAAATCTACATTTAAATATCGTTATCAAACGATTGAATTATACAATAATTATATATTACTTAGAAGATAAATAAAATACTTATAAAACGTGAATGTCATAACTAGTTGTCTTTGTTACTGAAAATACTGAAAGGTTTTTGAAATGTTGGAATAAGTGTATAAACCACCGATGGTGGTTGGTTTGGCCGTTTCAAGGAGCGATTTTCATAACATAGTGTTGGTTTTACCGTCAAGGTCCCCACCTGTGACGAGGTGCATTAATGGGAGTAATGAGCACGGATCATTAGTAGTAGTTTTACGCTGAAGCGCAGCCGGACTTCGGCCCCTCTCCTCTCAGCAACTCAAGTCTAATTCATTGTCTTAATCTTATTTACCATCTTCCACCCACGTAACAGTTTGTAATACTTTATATTTGATACCAAAAAATTATTATTTTCTCGCGAAAAGTCTTTTATGTAAATTCTTTCGTCCACCCGGAACGTAACCCTCGAATTGCCATAAGAGCAATGCTTCGATATCTGCGGATTCGATATCTGCGGCACCCTTTCGAAACGTAACCCCCGCAGATATCGGGGTTCAGCTGTATTTTCACGAAAATCAATAGCCTCGGTCAAAGCCTTGTTATATGGAGCAACGAGGCTGTGTCAATCGGCACGACATTCATCAAAACAAAATCGAGACAATATCGTGTACAATTTCAAATTCATAATTACGCGCGAATTTTTATTTTAATTACTTCGAATGTAATAGATCGTTGCTGCGCTTGCATATAACTGCGTATCTCATTCGCTTTTTATCGCACCCAAATCCTCTGTAAAATCATCTTTTTCCAGTAGAAATACATCATTGGTTTATATTTGAAATTTAACGATCGACCCTTTCTACCATCTTCTTCGTTGCGTACGCACAAAATGTAAACATGGCAGCGGCCTATATTTACGTGTATGGCTAACTTAAACATACGTACGTCGAATCGAAAAGTCTCGAGTAACTGTCAGTATCGCGGACGACGTTGAACGAACCGCACACGGTGTATACTCGTTTTTATTTTTCGACTTTTGTCTTTTATTGTACCGGTAAAAAATGGCGCCTCGAGACAGAAGGTCCGATGACGAAGCTCGTTCGTACGACCAGGTGTCTCTGCAATCACGCGCAACGACTGCATCAATGGCTACTTTGTCGGAGAAAGGCCAGCAGCGGAGCCATGCCGACGACAGATCGACAATCGCCGATGAACAACTACCAATTGACGGACGAGAGGAAGCGCCGCGTTACCACACACATGAGAAATATTGGGCTAAACAAAATAAAAATATTGAACCCAGCTTCGCACCGGTAATAATCATATAATGTCAATTGATTTTTAAAGAGAGTAAAAAATAATGGAACAATAAACTAATGGACAAATTACTTTTTCATTTTCGCGCAGTATAATTCATGGCAGGATTTGGACCGCGAAGATTGGGGCACTTTGGCTCTTATAGGCGGGGGCTTCTTATTCTGTATTGCATTTCAGTGCTGGTGGTTATGGCATCGTTATTTTGCACGTAACCGCGAAGAATAAATGTGACCACAACAAACTTCCACGAGATTTTACGACGACGACGACGACAAAGTCATGGACGTGGCAATAGAAATAAGTGTTTTTTTAATCTCTTAAACTCGAATAAATAATTGTAATTTTGGTATTTCTATATGCACCATAATATTTGCGTTGTCGCGGACATGATTAAATTACACCCTGATCGCATATATGGTTAAATTTCAAAATAAAATTCCGTTTCGTTAACAAAAAAAGGTGAAATTTTTTTTTTGCGTGCCCAGCGGCCCAGACCCTCGCAAATTGTTCATAGGACCTCTAGGAGTGAAAAAAAACGCTTGAACATGAAATTTGAAAATATTTAATTTTTTTTTAGGCACTTTTGTGTTGAGTCGTTGAAAAGGTATCAAAACTCATCTAAAAATTTTAACTAACCACTGTATTCGATAGGAAATTTCCTCAGCTTTCTCATGGTGCAGTTAGATTTTCCAAAAAATCTCATTTTCACAAGGAAAAATCGAAAATAATCCAGAAAGTACACTTTTTCCGTACTGAATTTTTCGACATATTTAGCCGTCAATGTTTGATGGCGATTTTCACGGTGAAAATTGGATATTTCGGAAAATCGAATAGTATCATCGGAAAGCTGAGGAAATTTCCTATCGAATACAGTGGTCAGTTAAAATTTTTAGATGAGTTTTGATACCTTTTCAACGACTCAACACAAAAGTGCCTAAAAAAAAATTAACTATTTTCAAATTTCATGTTCACGCGTTTTTTTTCACTCCTAGAGGTCCTATGAACAATTTGCGGGCACACGACGAGCAGCTCCGTGACCATCACATACAAAATGAGCTGGGGCTACTCGAGGTAAATACCTGCGATCGTGGGTCCACCGTCAATGTCAAGAAAAATAAAAATCGGTGAGATGTACTCCTCGTCCAGAAAGCAACGGACTTCCCAATCCGTATATATAGTTTATGCCGTAATTTTTTGAACCGTCAAAGCTGCGTGATATAATTTTTTGACCCATACTATATAACCAGGCGCTTCTTGCCAAAAATTTTCTCCGACAAAATATCGAAGTTACTGTGGAAGTGAAAATTTAGAATTATATTTCTATTTTAGATTATACTTAGATCGATTATAATTAGAATTCTATTTGAGATACCGTCGAGGGGATTTTTCTACGGTGGGCAGAAGAATTTCTTTTCATAATGCTTATAAGCAGTGGCGTCGTAGTGTCTATCTGAACCGAACGACCCAGACATGTGCTTCGAGCCGAGTCGCCTGTACAAGCAGTAAATGTAAGCATATCGCATTACGCAGAGCGAGATACGACGTTTTGATTGTTCAGGCCCCAGCTTCGCAACGGTCAAAAAAATTTTTTTAGTCGAGTTTTTTACATATTCCCTTGTAAAATTCCCCGCTGAATCCGAATTTGCATGTTGCCAGGCCCAAAAACGTGCTCGAAATTGTTTAAACAAATTTTTTTAAACAAATGGTCAACATAAATAATACATATAATAAGCCGAAAGTTTTATTCACTTTCCTGCATGGATTTATGATTTGCGCCACAAAGAATGCATGGTTACGACGCGCTCGACGAAGATGCTACGATGCCTAGTTTTCTAGAGATAAAAACAAACGCCGATCGGTATAACGAGACGCAGCCAATTTTTGCACGTCTATACGTGTGTAGCAGATAACTTCGCTTATGTAAAAAAAAAATGTACTTTAATATGTAAATACAACTTTCAGCAATATTATTCGAATAAATAATAAGTTTATTGTTAACTAAGAATTACAAAATACTTACCAGTTTTCAAAGATTAGCAGTGTGAATTGTATATCACGCGCGACAAGAGCGAGTTGCGGGAGCGCCGACTGGCAATGCGTATAGATGGCCATACCGTCAAACTCGCTGATTAAAAGTTTATAACAAACAGGTTTTCAACAATCTTATCGTCTAAAACGCTTCGGGGCTTTATAAAGGGATATTTGAAGTGTAAGAAAACGCTATGGCAACATCAAAATTTTACGTTTTTCACAAATTTTTTTAATGTCATAGTTGGCCGTTTTCGAGTTTTTTGCAACATAAAATATTGAATAACTCGAAAACTATCAACTTTAGAGAAACATTTCAATAGACCTTTTCTCTTTAAAGTGGTCCAATTGACTTAAAAAATGTATTGCCAGGTCAAAAAACATGAATGTTGACCATTTGTTTAAAAAAATTTGTTTAAACAATTTTGGGCACGTTTTTGCGCCTGGCAACATGCAAATTCGGATCCAGCGGGAAATTTTGCATGGGAATATGTAAAAACCTTGACTAAAAAAATTTTTTTGACCGTTGCGAAGCTGGGGCCTGGACTATGAAAGGCATCGTCCAACGTTCGATACTATTTTGTTGTTGTTGCAGATGAAATTATTGTAGGGCTAAACACGGAATTTCTTTCTTTGAATTTTTTTTTATATGCAGTAATGATTACGAACATGATCGAGCCAACGGGTACTTTTGATTATAACTGTCAAAGCAAATACACGAAAAATCTTTGTTCGACATAAAATTAACTTTGAGCAGCAGTTAATGATTCATAAGATACGATTGTATTAAATAGAATTATGCCGAACGTGATTGTAAAATAGGTAAACGTTTTTTTTATATAATTATCTAAATTCAACTCGTTGTTTCGATTCTGTATCATTGAATATATGTTTTATTTCACAATTTTTTTTTTCATGTAATGAAATTTTAATAAGTTACATAATAAAAATCGAGCACGTTAACAAAAAAATTTTTAAAGACAATAAAACAAAAGTAAGCTCAGAATTCCTTAACTTCATTACCTGAAAAAATAACGATACATAGTTATTCAAAAACTCTAAAGAAAGTATGAATTTGAGTCGAAAGTGCAGTTGTAAATACCTTCGTCTTTAAGACTCTCTTCTTTTTCGACGATTTCTGTAGCCAGGCATAGTTTCATCAAATCCTCGTTCGCCAGCAGATCCATGATTTTTTCGCAGCAGAGAATCGGCAGCTGATGGCGCGTCAGCGTCAAGAAGAATACCAGTGTCCAACGTCGAATGAATCCTCTCAATAGTATTTCGCGTAGATACACAAACCATTTTTTGTTGTATTGCCCAGTGGTAAACTTAGACCATTCATCCCTGTTCGTTTGAACGAATAGTAAGAAGTCCGTAAGTGTGAGACGTTTTTCCGCCTCTTCCAGTCGTAATCGTAACAAGTCGTAGAGCGACAGGCTCGAATTGAACCTCAATTTTTTCGCTTCCGTCGCGTCGAACTGCTCGTCGTCGTACCAACGATAATTGTCGAGGCGCGCTGACGTCTCGAATATTTTGCGCTTTACGAATAATGCCATGATTGTCAGGATGTCCCTTTGGTCGAGTTCGTATCCTCTTTCTTGTAGATACGCGACAACGAGTATCGCGCGATATGCTATCCTTAATTTATCACCTATGTAATTTATTGCTTCGTCGAAGCGATCGTCGAAGCGACTTAAAGTGGGAAAAATGAATTCAGACAGATCGGCACCATGATTTAAAAGTATATTGACGGTATTCGGCATGACAGACGCCACGGCTAATTGCAGAGGTGTCCGACCCAACTTGTCCCGGGCATCGATCTCGATCGGCTGATCGACCTTATCGTCGATTTTGAAGAATGTCTGCAGCAAGTCATTATCGAGGAAACTTTGACATAGTACGTGTAAAGGAGTCAATCCCTCCGCATTAGCTACGTTCCGATCGGCTCCCCTTTCCAGCAGCATTTGAGCGATTCTTTGTCTGCCTTCGGCCAAAGCGTAATGCAGCGGTGTCTGGCCCCACTTGTCCTGGGCGTCAAATAACACCGTATGATGCTTGCGGTCATGCGCCTCGAAAAATGGCTGCGCCGCCGTCGTCACATCCCACATATTCTTGCAAATAATATGCATAGGAGTCGATCCATCGTTATTGGCCAAATTGGGATTGGCCCCGTGCTCGAGCAGCAATTTGACCATCCTGTTATTGGTGCGAGTATCCCAGATCACGGCCGAGTGCAGCGGCGAGTCTCCAGTTTCTCGGCAGACGCAATTGGGATCCTGGCCGAGCCTGAGGAATCTCTCGACGATGTAGTCGAAGCCATGCTTGCAGGCCATGTGCAGATGCGTGAGTCCGGACTCGTCGGTGTAATTCACGTCGAATCTATCGTAAACTTTGAACAGATTACGAACGTCGAATGTCCACTTATTCGCTCAATGGGCACGATTACGATATCCGTGGTCCCGCGATTTTATGCAAAATTCCGATGGATGGCGCTCAATCTCGATCGTTTGGAGTGTTTAAATACTTTTTGCATTCATTGTAATGTGAAAATTTTCAATTTATATAACAATAAAGTTAGAGTAAAAAAAAAGGATTTATGCCTAATTTAGTATATTTCCCTTATCTGTATCTTTTTTCTGATCAAAATTCCTTAAGTTTTTATCTATAATTGTATTTTTTAACATCTACGATAATTTTCAATTATTGAATTTCGAACACGATGCGTTTGAACGATCATTGTTTGTCCGTTAAACAACTTTTAGCTGGCAGTAAATTGTATAGCTTTTTGTCAGTGCTTTTTGATATAGTTGACGGGTAATTAGTTTATGAAAAAATGAGTGCACAATCCTTTGTTATATACTAAATTGAAAAAAAATTTTCCATTTTTTACTCATTTGAAAAGTTAGTAGCTACTAATGAAGTCGCGATTAAGTTTCTGGAAGATGTGAGTTTAATTCTGTCACGTAGTTCTATAATGAATAAATCAATGAAATTAAAAAAAAAGTTCTGAATTTTTTATTTTTTTATTTTTTTTAAATATGTGTGTGGTTTTTTTTAGTGGGGGGGCTTCGCCCCCCCAACCCCCCAGCGGGGGCTTCGCCCCCTGCTCCCCCAGCAGGGGCTGCGCCCCTGCACCCGCTCCTCGCCCTGACCTCGCTCCACACGCCGGCACCTACCCGACGACCGCACTCACTCGGGGAGCATCCAATACACCCTTTGTGCTGACCACATTACCTGCTTATAAGTTGTGTTTTCTGCATCACACAGGTCACGAGTTGAGTCGACAACACTTGTAGTCGACTTTTTTCACGTTTAGATACTTAGTTACGTCGAGCTGGGTCGAAATTTTGC